ACATGGAAGTTGTCACGACCGTGTCCCAGAAATTTTTAATTTTTTGTGCGAGAATATTTTGGACCAAACATGGTAAATGGAACATAAGAAAAATTCTATTTAAAAATGATTTAAATGTGTTGGACTTACATGTTTCTTCAGCGAGCCCATGAAACCCAATTAACCCATCAAAAACCATAATCATCCACTATATAAAGGGAGAGAATGTGAGACTTAAGACCAAGAGTGCAGCTGCAACGAAGCCCTGACCGTTCTACTTTTCACCTCGTAAACCCTAGCCGCCATTGGAACTAAACTGCACCGCCGGTTTGAGAGACGTTTTTCTGATGAACCGCCACGAGCTGTGCAATGATCTACATATCTTTGGAAAAGTCCGAGTCTCAGCTTTCCAGAAAGTCCAATATCGTCCCGATCCAAGTTCTTTGGTGAAAGTTATGGCGTGTTCTTTCTGACTGTCGCAATATATCTTATTCTCGAACAACCGTAGATTTGACTAGTTTCGGTGGGAAATAGAAACCAAGGATCAAAACTATTCAGATCGATATGAATATTGGTAACGACTTTCCACACTCTCTTATTTACCCAAGTCAGAAAGCGGTTTGTTATTTGAAGTTGTGATATGAAAGTTATGAATATTTTCTCGTAGTTGTTATTTGCTGTCAAAGTTTTCGACTAGTCACAGGAGATTGGTGCTGCGGTTTTGTCGATGATCTGATGAATCTTATTTTTGGTAAGAATATTCTTAACTCTTTGATCTAGATATAGTTGAAAGAGTTTGTCATTCGGAGTTATGAACTGAAAGTTATGGATGTTTTACTGTAACTGATATGTGTAGAGTGAGTATGCGACCAGCCAACTTCGCATACGTTTTCCGACCAAGTCCGAAGGAACTAGAGTACGATCTCGACATTGTTGGAAAGAACTCATTGTGAAGTTTCTTGAATAGTTCTCTGGTATTAAATCCAAGGTAAGGTCAATCAGGAAATTGATCTCAAAGTTGAGACGCAATGATTGTTTGTGAACCAGAATTGTGCTAAGTATATTTATTCAAATGTTCCAGTTTCAAGCTGTGGTTTTTGGAGGAAGATTTCGGTAATGTCTGATCATGGATGGAAATAACATTGAGTTCTTCTGACAGAGGACATGCCAGAGAATTCAAGGAAGTTTCACTCGTCATTATTGGAGTTGTTACATAACCCAGCAGAATCCGAATTGATAGTTCGGGGATAGTTTCGATGCAGCCACTTTGAAGGTCTGTTTGGAGGTTCTGATCAGGCTGTAAATTGGTGGAGTTGCTCATGACACTACTGTCTTTAGAATCAACGGTGAGATTCGATGTGGATGGTTAGTTTGATGATGGAGTATATTGAGTTGCATTTGTTTGGGTTGGCAAATGACCTCGGAATGAGTTGGAAATTTGCAGGAACCTTATGGACTCATAAGATGAGATGGTGTCAAAAGAGTATTGAAGTTAGAGATTGGAAAGCGAGTCGAGCAATGACAATTTCAGAGACTTTGGATGCTTTGTGGCTAAGGTGAGGGTGTTGTCTAGATTACTAGTTAACAATAGATGTTCTTCCATGTTAGTCTAGTAATGGAATGTTTGATATTGTTGGTTATATATGCTAAGTCTAGGAATGTTTGATGCTTGCTGATTGTTAGTAAGGATTGTTTGACATGTTGAATTAGTTTGGTAATTAAATGAAGTTAAAGATTAAAAAGTATTGTTTGAGATTGTTAGAGTATATGATAGTTCTGCGAACGATCGCGTACGTAAGCCCGTTGCAAAACTTACATACGCGATCGTTCAACACGCAAAGTTCTGTAATGTGTTTACGTACGCGATCGTTCGCAGAACTATCATATACTCTAACAATCTCAAACAATACTTTTTAATCTTTAACTCCATTTAATTACCAAACAATTTC